GCGCGAGCTGCTCCCACTTCCCCAAATCTCAGCGCTCAGCCCGCCCGGCTGGCGGGCGCACGGTCCGCCGGGCACTGCGGCGCAGAGCAAATCGGCTTCCCCGCGCCCCGGCCACACGTGACTCCCACCCCTCTCCCTACCCCCGGCCTCTCAATGTTCTGCTGTGAGCGCGCAGACCGTCCTGCTCAGGGGGAAAAACTTTTCACCGAAGAATTCGTTAAAAGCCCCTCTCCAAGCCCTCGCTCTGCACCTCTTGAGCCCCCTCCAATCAATCCCCCAGCGGCGAGAAAAGTTAGTTGCCGAAGCCGAGCCGGGCGCTGCGCGGAGCCCTCCCGCAGCGCTGCGGGGTCAGGCCCAGCAACTTGGACGCCCCTCATTTGTTGCATCTGCCCGCCGCGGGCCGCCGTGCCTTCCGCAGCTCTCCCCGCGCGCGCTGCGGCAGCCGTGGCCACAGCGGCGGCCTGGTCCGAGCGCGCGGAGGAGAGGATCCCGCCTCGGCCCTTCCCAGTTTGGTCACCCTCCCGCGAAGCCCCGCGCCCGCCCCGCACCCGCAGGCCAAACCTCAGCGTCCCCAGCCGACGGCGCACTGGGGAGTCCCCGCTGAGCAGGGGACCTCAGGCCCCGGGTCCACACCCGCGCCGGGATTAGGTGCCGCGGCTCAGGGGCGAGACGCGTGGGGAAGGAAGAGACCTTTCCGGCTGGGGGAGAGCGGGCGCGCGAGCGGGCGCTGCGCTGCGCTGCGGGTTTCCTCTCGGATCCTCGGGCCAGGACCCGCGGCCACTGTCGCAAACCGACTCGGCCCGCCCAGGTCGCGTCACGGCCAAGGCCGCCAATCCTGCGTGCCGAAGAGACGCATTGGCTGCGGAGCTTTATTTCTAGAGGCGCCAGTTTATTCCCCGGTGGGATGGCCAATCTCCCTGACTGCACGTTTCTCAGCATCTTAGTAATTAGCATCTGTGCGATCCACGTGGGCAAAGAACATTTCTGAAGATAGCTTTGCATTTGTCTGAAAGCATCTTAAAAACAACCCGCCTACTTTAAACACCCCAGTCACGGCACAACGGGACGGAACGGGGTCACTGATAAATTCGGTTTAGGAGTTGTTCGTATGTTTGTCTTGTTTGGATTTGTGATAAGGATCCTATGTCGTTTACAGAAATAATGGGAGGTAATGCGTGCTAGGTGTTTCTTGGACTAGTCCACTCATCCTGCTAGTGATGGTGCTGACTAAGCATGTTTGCAGCCACGGAGAACGCTTCCTCTGTCAACCCCTTCTCCGGGTTTTAGAACATACAGAAATGGAAGTGGATAGGCCTCATAGGCAACATAATGTCACTCTGCATTTGGCGTCATTTATGAGTGTATATGAAACGCAGCCACGATAGTGTCCCTGGCCACTATAGCTCCTAGACTGACAAGAGCTCTGACAATGTTTGTGTGCAGAGCGAGCCCGTGTTAGCATAACACTTAGAGTCCAAGCAGGGATTCAGGTGGTCCCTCAACCGTTTAAAACAAGGGATTAGGACAAGGGATGGATTAAGAACTCCATAGCTATAGATTTGTAATTTGCAACATTGGGTAGAATCAGGTATGGTGCATATCTGATCTACCTAGTTATATATTTTATAAATGATCTTTTCTTTGTTCAGGACTTTTTGTTGTAACAAGAATGCTACACAACCATGCACCCAATTTTATTAGAAAGTTGATTGGCCCAACAAATAAGTTGATTCACTCACCTTTAGCCACATTCATTCAGCAAATACTTTTGAGAACCTGCTGTGTTCCGGGCAACCACCAGACAGGGTAATACAGTGATCAAGAGACATGCGAGGTTATAGTGTTTAGGCTGGAGTGGAAGATAAGAGATAGTGATGACAGTCTAGAGCAGCGGTTCTCAACCTTCCTAATGCCGCCACCCCTTAATACAGTTCCTCATGTTGTGGTGACCCCCAACCATAAAATTATTTTCGTTGCTACTCTGTAACTGTAATTTTGCTACTATTGTGAATCATAATGTAAATATCTTTTTGTTTTCTGATGGTCTTAAGCGACCCCTGTAAAAGGGTCATTCGACCCCCAAAGGGGTCGCGACCCACAGGTTGAGAACCGCTGGTCTAGAGAAAGGAACAGGTACAACTGCTAAGACCACAAGCTTTGAAGTTGAGCATATCTGTCCTCAAACCTTGATGCCACAAGGTATATGATCTTGTGTGAGATATCTAACCTCTCTTCGGCACCTTCTTATGTAAAAAGTGAAGATTAATAACAATAAATGATACTAGAATATCTAAGTTCAACCAGTTTTAGATAGATAGATAGATAGATAGATAGATAGATAGATAGATAGGCAGATAGATAATAGAGAATATATAATGCCTAGTAAGTAAGTATCCAAGTGGTGGTTATCATAAGTGTGATGAGTGAGTGCTATGAGTGAGACACTATGGTTTACTTGGGAAGGCACACTGGTTTCAGGTGGCAGGGGAAGCTTCCTCAAGGAGTCTTCTAAAGAGACCCCCAAAGAAGGGTGTGATTTAGCCATGGTAAGGAGGAAAATCAAGAATGCCAGACAGAGAGGCCAGATGTTTGTGTATTTGAGGAAAAAGGTTGAGGGAGGGATAATAACCCTCTCACTCTAGAGCTGCTTAGTCTCTTGTCTCATTAATTCTGTGCTTCTGCTCCATTATTTTTCCTAAGAACCATTTCCTCATGATGACTACTCCCCAAAACTTCAACATACATATGGCTTTAGCTTGTTTTGGGTGCTAAACTCAGAGAAAATGGATCTTGTAGCGCCACTGATCACCACTGCTTTAGAGATTCCACCTCAATTTTTTAGTTCAGATTCTCATGAGAAATTTCGATTGGCTGAGTCCAGATTATGGATTAGTTCCTACTTACATCAGGTCCTCCACCCCCAACCAGCCAACAGGTGGGACCAGATAGAATAAGTATGAGGTCTAACAATTAAGTTCACGAACTTGTTGTAATGATGTTGCTAACCTTTTTTTTGCTATCAGAGGGATTATTCAGTATGAATTTGTACCAACTGGACAAATAGTTAACCAAGTTTACTACTTAGTTAACCAAGTTTACTACTTGGAAGTGCTGAAAAAGCTGTATGAAAAGTTAACCTGAACTTTTCGCCAACAATTCATGGCTCTTGCATCACGACAGTGCACAAACTCACACGGCACTGTCTGTGAAGGAGTTTTTAGCCAGTAAACAAATAACTGTATTGCAACACCCTCCCTACTCATCTGATTTGGCCCCCTATGACTTCTTTCTTTATCCGGAGATAAAGGAAACACTGAAAGGAAGACATTTTTATGACATTCAGGACATCAAAGGTAATATGTCGACAGCTCTGATGACCATTCCAGAAAAAGAGTTCCAAAATTGCTTTGAAGGGTGGACTAGACACTGGCATCAATGCATAGCTTCCCAAGGGGAGTACTTCGAAGGTGACCATAGTGATATTCAGCAATGAGGTATGTAGCACTTTTTCTAGGATGAGTTCGCGAACTTAATTGTCTGACCTCGTACCTTCTAAGTTTCACCCCCATCAGCAGAGTGGGGTAGAGGACCATTTAAATAAAGAAGAGTATGTGTGGCAATCAATGACAGGGTTATCCAGTGTCTCACGGCTCAGAGTGTGTTTTCTAGACCACCAAATCAGCATTGCCTAATGACTTGTTAGAAATGCAGAGCTTCAGTCCTTATCCCAGATCTACTGAATCATAATCTGCATTTTAATAAGATCCCCAGGGGATTCATATGCACATTAAGTTGGAAAAGCATTTCTTTATACACCTCTACTTTTACATATCGGGCCACAGGCCATTTAGATTACCCTCCCAAATAGCATAGCTCCCCATTTTGTATTTTCTTCATTGTGCTTCAGCCACTCATTCCAATGCAATACTCTGGGCTTTGACAACAGCCCAGAATTGCATCATATTGGAAATATGTTCAGAGAGACCATTTGGTAAGTCTTGTCCTCCACTCCTTCCAATTCACTCACTCATTCACCATATCAATCCTTTGGCCACTTTAGTGTCTCTGATTCTTTGGTCTCTTGACTTTCTCCCTATGGATCTACTCCCCTGTTTTCACCTTCTTCCAAATTAGATTCTGTGCTCTATCACTGCAATTGCTCTTTTGATAATGTCTTGTTCCCTTGTCCCACTTATTTGATCACAGTTGTGCAGAAAGTCCCCTGACATATTAATCTTTCTGCCTTCTTAACACCTGTGACCCGGTGTCTATCGTAGCGTGGGGGGGGGGGAAGCGTTAATGCTCCTGATCAGAGTAATTTTAAATTCAGGGCAGCCAACCTCAACTGTACCCCTAAAACCAGCTGGAAATCCTGTGTTGCCTGGGTAACTCTCCCTTACTCTCAGCAGATGACTCAGTCACCTACTTCACAGAGAAGAACCTGAAGCCATTAGATGGGAATTCCCTCAACTCCCCAGCAAACCTACACGTTCACCTATATCCACCCTCATCCATTTCTCTTTCTTTTCAGTTGGAATGGAAGAGAGAGATGCCTGTCCATCTGTCATGTTTTACAACCCATTATGCGCCACAATCACAGGGGTCTCACTATTATGATTCTATTTTTTCTATGAAAAAGCATTTAAACATGCTCAGATTCAACCATGTTAAAACAAACAAGCAAAAAACTTGCATTAATCTCATGTGTCCCTTTGGCTACCACACTCTCTCCATACCCTCTGTGGAACTCTTGGTTGTCTATATAGCCATCTTTCCTCC